ATTTCTGGAGCCCTCCACTACGGCGTCTCTCATAATCATATGGTGGTTTTGGGACGTTAAACCCCACATATCAAAATCTTTTTCAATCTATGTGCACTGCCCAAGCGCATGTCTTCAGAACTGCATGATTACTATCTGTGAACGCATTGGTTGGTTTTGTGTGCAGCATTGCAGCAAGCAGCATTGGTTTCAGTCGGTGTGTGTTGGATTCGCACATATTTTCATGGTCGCCCATGATCATGTCGATACTACCGCGTTTGTGTTCGCAGCGGTTGGGGCAAAATTTTTAATTACGCTTAGATTAGGTGTGCGCTGGCCACGTGGGCGCCTTTGTTGTCATTCACGATCGCAGGGCTAGTGAAGAGAAGCAGGAGTTTCATTTTGAGCGCTGCATCAAGAACATATTTGTGCGCTGGCCACGTGTGTCCCTTTGTTGTCATTCACAATCGCATGGCTTGCGAAGACAAGTGGTAGTTTTGTTTTGAATGCTGCGTCAAGAACATAGCAGGAGTTTCGGAACAATTCTGCCGTGGGCCACAGGTGTCTTAAACCCACTGGCATCAAAGTGGATGGGTGATCTGTTGCTAAGCATCTCAATGGCAAAAAACTTATTGTGATGTGCTGCAAAAAAACGTGTCTCCGATGAAGCAACGGGTGTTGTGATGCAGCCGCACTGCTCAGGAAATCGTGAGCCAATGAGAAATGGCCAAGTTGGTAGTGAAATTTTGTGGCATTTCTAGGCAAGTTTCTTTTCCTTATGTGGTAGTACTGGCGAAAAGTTAGTTGAAGTGGAATGTTGTGGTGGAAATTTTATTGTAGCAGACTTCGTTGTAATGGGATTCAACTGTATTCACTATTTTATGGGTTTATGGGTGAACAAGGTGCCTCCGTGTTGGGTTGTTTACATTACCACTTGGTCTCTATAGCAACTAAATAAACAGTATTACAGTAGAATAGCTTGTATACGATGGAGAGCAAGCTGATCGGCTTGTAATTCTTCAAGTCCTTGTCATCTCCTTTATGTAGTAAGATAATCCTAGCATTCTTCTATATACAAGCTATTTACAAAGGTAATCGCTAACAGAATTAAGACATTAGATTTCAATCAACTAAAGGAACAAGCAGGATTTCGAACAAGCTACTCAAGAATCTGCCACATTTATACTATCAATCAGGTAATAGAAAAATGCTCGGAATACAATCAACCACTATACATAGCCGCCATAGGTTACGAGCAGGTGTTTGATTCAGTAGAAATATCAGCAGTCATGCAGACACTGCGGAATCAGGGCATCGACGAAGCATAAATAAACATCCTGGAAGAAATCTACAGGGGATTAACTGCCACCATAGTGCTCGATAAAGAAAGCAACAAAATACTAATCAAGAAGGGTGTAAGGCAAGGGGATACAATCTCGCCAATGCTATTTACCGTGTGCTTACGGGAGGTTTTCAGAGGCCTGAGTGGGAAGAGTTAGGGATAAGAATTCATGGAGAGTGCCTTGGTAACGTGGGCTTCGTTGATGACATTTCATTGCTCAGTAACTCGGGGAACGAATTGCAACTGATGATTACGGAGTTAGACAAGGAGAGCAGAAAGGTGGGTCTTAAAATGAATCTGCAGAAAACGAAAGTAATGTACAACAACCTCGGAAAAGAGCAGCGCTTCGAGATAGGTAATAGTGCACTTTAAGTTGTAAAAGACTATGTCTACTTAGGGCAGGTAATAACCGCGGAGCCAAACCACGAGATTGAAGTAACTAGAAGAATAAGAATGGGGTGGAGCACATTTGGCAAGCACTCTCAAATCATGACTGGTAGATTGCCACTATCCCTCAGTAGGAATGTATGTAACAGCTGCATCTTGCCTGTACTTAGCTACGGAGCAGAAACATGGAGACTTACAAAGAGGGTTCAGCTTAAATTGAGGACGACGCAGCGAGCGATGGAAAGGAAAATGATAGGCGTAATCTTAAGAGACAAGAAGAGAGCAGAGTGGATTAGGGGACAAACGGGGGTTAAGGATATCATAGTTGGAATAAAGAAGAGGAAATGGACATGGGCCGGGCATGTAGCGCGTAGACAGGATAACCGCTGGTCTTTGAGGGTAACTAACTGGATTCCCAGAGAAGGGAAGCGGGTTAGGGGGAGACAGAAGGTTAGGTGGGCAGATGAGATTAAGAAGTTTGCGGGTATAAATTGGCAGCAGCAAGCACAAGACCGACTGGCAGAACATGGGAGAGGCCTTTGTTCTACAGCGGACGTAGTCAGGCTGATGATGGGGATTATGATGACAGTAGAATCATGCATGAAAAGGGCTGTATGAATGTATTTGCATTCCATGACCTTGTTAATTTCATGTCATGTCTCTCAAAACATAAATTATTTGTCTAAAAGCCCTAGATGGTACCTGTCATGAATAAAAGATAAAATTGTGTATAGGTGCTTGCAAAATAATAATTCCACTCCCTGATTCAGCTCTTAGTGTTTATATTATTACATCTAATATACCTGGAGATGGAACTCCTCACTGGAAAAAGGTCTGTTGAAAATGGCTCTTGAGTAACTGTCAGCAGTAAATAATGCCTGCATAAAAGAAGACAACTTGTAATTAATCCTTTGTATCCCAGGTGCCATATTTCTGGCAGTTTTGTTAGAATTTTTATTCCTCCCCGAAGTTTCATTAAAGGACTGTTGACCCCTTAGCTGCCACAAACAACGTAAAAGTCCAAGCTTTCACTTATGCTTGATTAGTAGCACCATTGGTACTGCACTTGACTGCTTTCATTGTAAAAATAAACATCACTTGCGGCCAGCAAAGACAATGAGTACCTGGCTTTTTCATGCTCCTCCTTGCTTATTACTTGTAATGTCTAGTTATAAATACCTCTATTCTTCTTTGCAAAGCCTTCTTAAAGGAGCACTGACATCAAATTTACTCGTGCCAAGATTTTTGCGTCAGCGAGTTGCTATAGACCCCGTAGCAGCGATTCGCGACCTGAAACGCAACTGAGGGATGAACAACTATCAGTTTTATTAATTTATATAACTGGTATCTAGCACGATTCAAAACGGCCGGCAATCCCGCCATTTTTAGCACCGGAAGCAGCAGCAGTGGCGCTACCTCGCGGTCACTTCCAGATCACGTCACAGCTGACCACTTCTCCACAGAAAAGAGTGATGTCAGGCTCAGCAGCTCCGCAAACATTTCGTCTGCTAGGCGGACACATTCAGTCATGCCTTGTCACCTGCATTGCTGTCGTCGCCGTACAAAGTGTCGACACGGGTTCAATACGATAGTCTGGAGCTTGGAATCACCGCGATTCGCGACGTTGCAAATAATTTTTGCTTCGATCGACCCTTTGGTGAACAGTGATTCTGAAATGGACACCATTCCAAACAGGACTGCAGGGGTGCCCGAAGATGCACGCTTCAGCCATGTTCGCTTGTGTGTCTCAGTTAGCTATATTGGTGTGTTTCGGCGTGCAAAGCATTCAGGTATACGCAGAGGGGTCAATGCAGTATAGCTATCGCGAATGAGCATCAGCGGATAAATAGAATTTCCTGCTTGCCAGGTTCTTTTTTGCACCTCTAAATGGCCCCACCTATCCAGCCTCTCGTGGTTAACACTGTATTACTACTTTAACGTGGACGCAAAGTATACAGATAAACTAAAATTCAACGATACCTGTGTGTTACTTGTTAGCGATGATAACTGACTATACGCTGTTCCACTTTTGATAGCTTGTGGTCGTGGTGATGTGTAACACATATGTGATATGAAAAGACAAACTGCGCTTTTTCTGTGCTTCAAACTAGACGACTGCAACTCAACTGCTACTCGCAACGATTTACCGGCATGCTGACTGACAAGCACACGTTTATACATGCTCTTTTCCTTCCCCGTTCTTCTAAAGGTGGTTTTTATCTTGATAATTTCACGAAATCATTCAAACCGGTACAACGAAGATCAGACGGGATGAGCGAGTGCGTTGCTGCAGCGCCAGTCAGCGCCATGATGAGAACACTCTGTCCGTACACGTCATCGCTACTAGGGCATCATCATTCAGGGTGGTATTTGTGGAATGTATCACACTGAACACGTAGCCCTAGTGCCGATGTCGCAGGGCTGTCTATTTTTCGTTTTTTCTCCTGAGGTTTTCTATGCTGTTTGACATCGAATTAAAACAAATTCCACGAGACGGATGCCGTTCAAATTTGGCCAAGAAGACCTATGCATACCAAGCGATCGAATGATGGGCACATCTCAATCTTGAAATTTTATGTCAGTGCTCTTTTAACAATCCTAGTTTGTAGTATTTTGATATCATTGGTTATTGACAACTGTGTGTGCAGTTTAGGCTTGTATACTCGGGACCAGGAAGTACAGCTTTCCGGGTATTCTAAAAAGTGTGTAGCATTTATGCAATGTGGTACAGTTCTTTTTTAAAATTAATTTATTGCAAAATAATTTTTAGAGCACCTCAAAGCCTTGAAAGGTCTTTAAATCTAGGGGCAAGAGGTCAAAGAAGAGCAAATCCAAGGAGGTCCCTTTCAAAATGAATATGCAAGTCGAAGTGAAGATGAAAACTTAGAAGACTGATATTGCATAGAAGAGTATATTCTTTCAGAAAGGCAGCCATACATCGATGATGAAAGCTCTAGAGAGAGGGAGGAGGAAGAAGTTGAACTTACATCTAGTATGATGAACAAACAGCCATGACACTGTGTAAAGAAGTATCTCAATAAATAAAAAAAGTGAGAAAATAAATCTGAAAGAAAAAACAATTTAAAGGAAATAAATTGCTTTAAATCTTTTCATGCCTTATGAAAGCTTTCAAGAGTTCAGTGCATGGTTGTTCAATTGTCAGCTCTAAATTCTTGGCTGCAACAAACATGGCAATAATGAAATTATTATAAAATGTACAAGTATTTATGTAAGCTTTTTCCCAAGTATTACCTGAAAGTGAACTTAGTGTGCAGTCTTGTTTTTCTTGCAGAACTCTTACGTGCAGCTGCTGGCAGCCACTACACTGAACAAGCTTGTTTCGAAACACCCTGGATCCCTCAGCTTGCAGCAGCGATTAGAAATGCGTAAGTGACACTCATAAGGAATGTTGGTTGTGTGATTTTTTATCATGTTCATTCAATGCCTTCACTCCTGCACAGGGAACTACATCTTGTCTTACCTGTGGCAAAGACCGAAAAGCGCTGCATTTGTGACCCAGGCTTTGGTGCAGCTTTTTGCACGACTTACCAAATTGGGTTGGTTTGACTCCGACAAGGAAGATTTTGTTTTCCGTAGTGTCATCCGCCAAGTGCAGTCCTTCTTGCAAGGATCAGTTGAGTACTGCGTGGTTGGTGTCCAGCTGCTATCACAGCTAACATCCGAGATGAATCATGTTACTGAGGTGAGCATTTATTAAAAAACTGGTCAGGCAATCAATTTTCCTGCTGCCAATATGAACAAAAGTTAAGCAGCTTACATTTTGATGGTTTTGACACAAAGAATGCTTTCGTTTCAGGCTGAAGCAAATCGAAGTCTCACCAAACAGCGCAAAATTGCGTCATCCTTTCGCGACAGCCAGCTTTACGACATTTTTCAATTGGGGTGTGATTTACTAAGGAGAGCACTGGAATCGTGGAAAGCTCAAATGACATTCAGTGATGATACACAGGTGTGTATAGTGTCTACAGCGGTAGCTTAGAACTGCTAATTATTGTTTGCTGGTACTTTGCAGCAGCAACTGATGAGCCATCTGCTGCGATTGGCACACAACTGCCTCAGCTTTGACTTCATTGGCACAAGCCCAGATGAGTCTTCGGATGACCTCTGCACTGTTCAAATTCCAACAGGCTGGAGGCCTGCCTTTCTTGACTATAATACATTGCAGCTTTTTTTTGACTTGTTCCACTCTCTCCCAGTCAACCTTAGCCCACTGGTACTTACTTGCCTGGTGCAGATTGCATCAGTGCGCCGGTCACTGTTCAACAATGCTGAGCGAGCTAAATTTTTATCCCAGTTGGTCACTGGTGTTAAGCACATCCTGGAAAATCCCCAGGTGGGTACATACTAAAGAGCTATGTAGACCATTTGCCGACACCTGTCACTGACAAATGTGCATATTTACAGAGCCTTTCGGATCCAAACAGCTACCATGAGTTTTGTCGGCTTCTTGCTAGGTTGAAATCAAACTACCAGCTTGGAGAACTGGTCAAAGTGGAAACATATCCTGAAACAATTGCTCTTATTGCCAAGTTTACTGTGACAAGTCTCCAGGTGAGGTTATTGAAACTTGTTTCTGGCTTTTTTTAATTTATACAATGTTGGCTAGTTGTCACTGCCATTGTCTTCCATATCGCTACTGTGGTTAAATAATCATGTTATGACATATTTCCTGCCCGCTTTGTTATCCAAATAACTTTTTGACTCTCACTGTGTGCTGTGCCTTGTGCCAGCAGCTGCAACTCCATGTCTTCTGTGAAGCACCATTATACTAAACTTGACGGTCAGTGGTGGTAGGGATCTTTTTTAGTGTAATGAGGGTTGGTCCTGAGCATGTGGTGTTCATTGTAACTTGAGACTGCCAATCTTGGTACATTTAATGGAGCAGCCACCGGTTTTATCAAAGAGGTGGCCCTTAAAGATAAACTCCGGCGATTTTTCAAGGTCAATAGATCTAGATGAAAAATTCACTGGGTACATTCATTTGCACGTTTCTGCCATGTATACGAAATTGCTGAATTTTATAGATTGCCTCCAAATGCTCACCTGGCTTGCCAGAATTATTGGCAACATTGTGCATGTGACGTTGATTTCTGCACGGCATCAAGTGACAGAACTGAGTTGCCACTGCAGCATCTGTTTGTCTGCTGTGAATATTGTGCGTTTGGCCGGTGCTTTCCTGGTTGAGCGTGTGATTTTCTTTTGCATGTGGTTGGGTGTCTGATGGGTGGCAAGCGGTATTGCATTGTGGACTGCACGTGATTTGCTGTATATTCACCATAACAACGACTAAACACTCGCAGCTGATGATTACACTTGGTCTCCATGGTAGTGTTTTAGCTAGTGCTGCCAGCTTACCTCACGGAAAGTACGGTAATACCTTGCCGGTTGAAAGGTGGACATGTGCGAACATTTAACACCCTGAAGCACTCTCTGTGATGAATACAATATTCGTCACCACGTCTATCTGTATACGGTAAGCTGCACGGTGTAAAAAAAGAAAGGTCCGTAGTTGGCTGATATTAATAATCGATCTTATCGATGTCATGTCCAACAGTACTTACTTCATATACTTATGCTCCCATTTCTATGACAATATTAAAAAACCTTAGTTTGATGTCAAGCTTCTTAGCATGAGCATTTTACATACCCATCGCCGCAGTCTCAAGCTTGGATGGCTTAGGCACATGGTGCCACCTGGCAACGTTATGCACAAAAAGGCCATTATATACGAAAAGCTGTTGCGCTTCATAGAAGAGGAACGGCCATGCTCATTGACCTCCAAATGCGTCTGAGTAGCAGCTGTCATTGTCGGACGGCTCCGAGGAGCTTGTGCACGTGACACAGTCAGTCACGGACATGGTGTGGCATGGTCACCTATCCACTGAGCATCTTTTCTTCGCAGCTTTTACAGTTTTCATACTCGGTGCTGACGGGACCAGCATGCCTTGCACGAGTTTTTGGTTTTCTAACTTATGACATGTCACACCAAGACTATTGTTCATCTTGGTTTTGGTTTTGGTGTTGTGCTTTCATGCTTACTTAATATTGGAGTTTGATGTGTCTTTTACTATGAGGTCCATGGCAGGAGCGCCTGAGGAACATAGAACCCCCATTACTTTCACATTTCAATTTTTCAATTTCAATTTGTTTGTTTCAGACAGATATACAGAAGAGATATGTCCACGAGGTAAGGCTAAAGGAGACTCGTATGTCTCCTGACGAGGCCCTTACTCTGGACTTACATGCCTGATAGCAGGAACAGAAAATGGTCAAAAATCGTCGAAGCTGGCCTTTAGGCCACAAAAGTTTCGTCTCTTGCAGTATAAGTGGTGCAGAATCAGCTTGTCTTATCATCTAAGTGCATGTGCAGGTTCAAGTATATGAAAAATATCTTGTGTTAACATCTAAGTGCATGTACAGGGAACATTAAAACTTTCTAGGACACAATCCCATGTATTCCTATAGTAGCGTGGCCTGGAATTTTTCGAGGTCCCTCTCCATGTTCAAATATGTGTAACTGGTCTGGTTAAAATACTAAAATTTTCTAACAGGATTACATGCTTCGGAAAGAGTTGCCTGAATATTAGTGTATTTTCATGAGATTTTTCATGAGAGGTACAGAATATCATAAGGGAGGAAAGACAGGGGGAAAAACTTGGTTCTGAAAATATACAATTAAGTTGACATGTATAGGTAAATCAGCATGAGAACGACTGACTAATAACGCTGTCACGTGGCAAATCTAAGGTCATTTGCAACAAATGACATTAAGCAGACCAAATGTCATTTTACCTGCGTGGTGTCACATGATAAAAACAAATGTCATTTTGAAATGATGACCATCGCCTTAGCCCTCCTGAGCCGTGAAATTTGGGAGAAATAAAAATATACTAAAACTTGCATGCAACATGCATGTATCCACAAAAATAATTTTTATGGGTAAAAAGATGCTCCTAGAATATAAATGCAGCCGTTTTATGCAACTTGCCACAACTGCATTGCACACTCGAAAACCAACATGGCCGACGATATGCACGACCGGGCATTTCGGTACAGTCAGCTCAAGTGGGGCGCACGACTGACGTCCCGACTGCATAAATGTGACGATGGCAGCAATTTCGTGTAGTCACCACTTTGGTAACCCCAGCACGTTCGCTTGCACGATCAACATCCGCAATACAGGCAACAACGACCACAGAGCAAAAATCAAACATGGCCGGTGTCCAGGCGCTGTAGTTGTGAGTAGTTTTTTTTTTTACAAACTATCGCGCGTGCCTTTATGTCATCAAACCAGTAATAAGTTGATCTAGTAAAGAATAAGCTATTTACAAATGACAAAAGTTTCGTATACATAGGTCAACAGTCATCTCTCTAAAAGTCACTAGCGTCGAGACTACTCATTCGGTCCGAAATCGAATGCAAATGTGTTTCGGAAACTTATTCGACAGAAAATATCATTTTCATCAAATGGCATTAGTTTTCCCGTGTGACAGCAAACAAATGACATTTCTAACGAATGTCAATCGTTGTAAATGACAATAGATTTGCTGATACAGAGGTAAATGCAAATTTTTCCAGTTTATATAGTGATCATTACATTTGCTTGCATTTCGTAAGATGTGCTGCAGTTGTAACTTCATATCACTGATACTTGAACATATTTCTGGAGAAGTTAACCTACTACTATTGGGGTTATTTCTATCATAAATGTAATTGATGATTGGTGAATTGCCTTTCCAAGAAAATTCAGAAGAGACTGAAAAGCAATTGATTACTTCCATGTTGCTTTCCTTCGAACTGTTGTTAGCTTTTTACAGATGCGGTAAATAGGACCTCACCTAACCTGTATCCTCTGCAGCCTTTCGCATCGTTATCTTCACTAGCAATTACCTTTGGTAATTTTAGCATTCACAGTTAGGCAGAGACACTAAAAACTCACTTTATGTGTGTGCTAAAAGGAACAGTTATGTTCTGAAGTACGAAACCCATATGTGTACAATTGTGGTTCCATTGTTACAATGTTTTCTTGTGCATCATTTATCAATAGCGGCAATCATGTATAAAGCAATAATTTCATACACGCGCATGTTATCTCCAGAGAGCCCGAAAAAGCTTGTTGCCTGTGATTGTGAAGACTTAAAAAAAAGCTAAATGTTTTTTTAGTTTTACAGTAATTAGTCATCAGTCTTGAGATTCATACTACACAGCTGACGCTTTACTCAAATGTAATGAATTTGTGCTTTGTATAGACTTTGTGTCAAATTTCAAAATTACCTGGTATCCACAGGGTCCGACAAGCGCTCAAAATACGAGTTGAGATTACCCTACTTAAAGAGGGATTGTCTAAAACGAACCCTGGTTTTTGCATGAAACCTGTATTCGTATTTTTTCTGCTCTCAGAATTACTTTCGATGTCTCTGGCAGCAAAAAAGTGAACTTGCCCTTGTACCTACCACCTGACCTTTTACGGGTGTATGCTATTAATTGTTTCTGTATTAGTGTTGAAATTGAGCATACTTTTATTGCAATCTCCTTCAAAATAAAATGTCCAGATATGCGTTCATTTGCATTGAACAGAATAGTAGCACTTCACCTCCACTCGATGTATAGCCTGATGCTTAGAGCGGTAGCATGAACTTAGTTAGCTGAAGGCTTAGCATCATCTTCTGACGTGTTGGAAAAGTACCAAAAGTACCTGATGGCCTTTTGCTTCTTGAAACACATCACCATAATTATTCGCAGAGGCCGTGAATGCCTATCTGGCGATGGGTAACGAGATTTCACGTGATGACGAGTGTTTAGAAAACTTATTATGCCTGCTTTTTACATTCCATAGTGGTCGAAAATGTGATTGTGAAGTTGTTTAATCCCAGTTTCAAACACTTTCTTTAATGGGAAATCTGAGCATAATGCAAGGAGGGCTATCAGCGTCACTACGCTTCGAAGTGTTGCTGGAGGACATCTAAGTTTAGGGGATTTCCAGGTAAAAAAATACTGGTCATGAAATGACCACTTGCTTTTGGGATTAACTACTATAGCTACAAACATTGTAAAAGGTGAGCTTGTTATTGCACCACAACGATTGGGTTGAGAGAAATTAGTTGTCGGTCTCTTTAAAGGAAGGTAGACACCAAAGTCTTCTATGATAATTTTGTTATTTTATGTGAAAGATTGTTTTTCGGGGACGTTAGTAATGGCTGATGTGTACACCATAGCATTGACAATGATCGAGTATTACTCAGTTCAGTTAGCGCACCTGACTACTTCAAAAAATCCCGCCAAGTCGTGAAAAACTTCTGATAGATGACAGGAAGAAGTATTGTGTGATGATGACATCGGAGTACCAAAGTGGTGATAGTCGGAATAGTTTGCTGAAAGGATCGTTTCAATCGGAGACTACAAACACCTTTCCGCAATGCATAGCAGTGCAAAGGTCGACGCTGCCTCGACAGTGCACTTTTAATAGTTCACACATCTTTATAACAGGCGAGATGAAAGTATTGGTGGTACTCTGAAAAGTTCTTTGTCAAAAAGCTGTTATTCAAAAACATTATTAGTACTGTATCTGCTGCACATATCTCCATCACACTTTTTCCAGCTCTTTGATGATGTTTTTGCTGATTGTTATGGTAACCACATTCATACTATCAATCAGGTAATAGAGAAATGCTCAGAATATAACCAACCACTATACATAGCCTTCATAGATTATGAGAAGGCGTTTGATTCAGTAGAAATGTCAGCCGTCATGCAGACACTGCGGAATCAGGGCGTCGATGAAGTATATATAAACATCCTGGAAGAAATCTACAGGGGATCAACTGCTACCATAGTGCTTCATAAAGAAAGCAACAGAATACCAATCAAGAAGGGTGTAAGGCAGGGGGACACAGTCTCCCCAATGCTATTTACCGTGTGCTTACAGGAGGTTTTCAGAAGCCTAGAATGGGAACAGTTAGGGATAAGAGTTCATGGAGAGTACCTTAGTAACCTGCGCTTCGCCGATGACATTGCATTGCTGAGTAACTCGGGGGACGAATTGCAACTCATGATTACGGAGTTAGACAAGGAGAGCAGAAAGGTGGGTCTTAAAATAAATCTGCAGAAAACTAAAGTAATGTACAACAACCTTAAAAAAGAGCAGCGCTTTGAGATAGGTAATAGTGCACTTCAAGTTGTAAAAGACTATGTCTACTTAGGGCAGGTAATAACCGCGGAGCCAAACCACGAGATTGAAGTAACTAGAAGAATAAGAATGGGGTGGAGCACATTTGGCAAGCACTCTCAAATTATGACAGGTAGATTGCCACTATCCCTCAAGAGAAAGGTATATAACAGCTGTATCTTGCCGGTACTTAGCTACGGAGCAGAAACCTGGAGACTTGCAAAGAGGGTTCAGCTTAAATTGAGGACGATGCAGCGAGTAATGGAAAGAAAAATGGTAAGTGTAACCTTAAGAGACAAGAAGAGAGCAGAGTGGATTAGGGAACAAACGGGGGCTAAGGATATCATAGCTGAAATCAAGAAGAAGAAATGGACATGGGCCGGGCATGTAGCGCGTAGACAGGATAACCACTGGTCGTTAAGAGTAACTAACTGGATTCCCAGAGAAGGCAAGCGGGTTAGGGAGAGACAGAAGGTTAGGTGGCCAGATGAGATTAAGAAGTTCGCGGGTATAAATTGGCAGCAGCAAGCACAGGACCGGGTTAACTAGCGTAACATGGGAGAGGCCTTTGTCCTGCAGTGGACGTAGTCAGGCTGCTGCTAATGATGATGATGGTAACCAAGTCTGAAAAAGGTGCCATACTTGGTTGCTAGACTGCTAAATTAAATAATGGATTAGCTTTAAAGGGGCCCTGCTACACATTTTTAAGTAGCCATGGAATAGATTCACTAAAGGAGCTTATGGCTTCATGAATTCACTGCAGAAAAAAATGTTAAAATATGTCTAGTACGAGCAGAGTTACAAATCTTTGTCGCACACTGCAATTGCATTCTCCTTTCTCTCGTCCCGACAAAAGGGCTGGAAGCTAGGCCGGGAGGGATGGCCGGATGAAAGAAGCACATCATTACGCTCCCCTCGTGACCTTGAGCACTCCCCCCCTTGGCCTTCTTTTTTTTTTTCTTCGAATAAGCTGCTTTGCAGTGCTATAGCGCATGCTTGGACAAGCCATGGTCTCCCGCAGCGGCCCCAGTAATGACCGAGCACGCCTTGTTCAAATCAGCCAATGACTGATACAATGGCTGTCACGAGTGATTTTTGAGCTTGTAGCATTATTAGTCGCGAGAAGAGAAAGCAATATTCAGCTTACTTTGAGAATTTATTGTGAATTCTAGGCCGAGGCGCTGCGCTATAATATTTGGCACGCGTGTTATCGGAATCCTAGACTACTGATCAGCAGCCTTTTCTGACCATCCTCGGAAAGTCTTGCAGGGCCCCTTCAAGGAGTCTGTTCTCAGGGTTCGTACAGGTCCTTGAAATCCTTGAAAACCCTTGAAATTAAAAATTTCTTTTTCAAGGCCCTTGAAAGTCCTGGAATTTTCGCCGTCCTCTCGGAAATCCTTGGATTTCCTAAGCAGTGCACTTTCATATCGGCATCGCGACCTGCTAAATGTGGTGGATCAGTGTGTGAACCTGTCACTCCTTATTTCTGTAGCACTAATGCGTCATGGGTGCACATGGTCCCATTTAGCAAAAGTGCACTTGAAAAAAAGTTTATGGTGCGGGTGAAACAGTGAATGTGATAGCAAGAAATTAGAATGTCACACGAAGAAGGGCAAGCAACCCCATACGTGCAGCGCGCTGCTCAAGCACGAAGGACGCACGAAAAGAAAGTGCACAAAATGAGTGCTGATGAACCACTGTTGCAGCTCGACACTGGAAGCATGCTGATTAAACAAAGCAAGAAGGGTGCTCGAAAAGAACACACATGCACCCACAGGATGAGTGTAAATTAACCATCGTCACAGTTGTTACTTCTTAGTTGTTGAGCAATGTGCTGCGAGTGTCAACTGTGCACAAGCCGACACTCCTTATAGGGTGGTGCCATCAAATTTCAAGGCTATAGCAAGCGCCGTGTGGGTTTAAGAATATTGTCGCAACAAGCAAAGAACAGGACACAAGGCTTCCTTTCGACGTTAACAGCAAGGCTCTATTCATACACAAACACAAAGCGCAAGAGCAGATGCGCAACGTCGTCTTCCTCGAAAAACGCCAGAGACTGCTGCTCGTGATGCTGGCGTCTTCCTCCTTTTGTGTTTACGGCTAATAACCGTGACATTAGCCTTCTTCTCAAAAAGGCATCGTCTCGATGCTTCATCATCATGGCGGAAGGGTTTGTAGTCACTGGCAGCCCACAAGTTCATTCGGACAAATAAGGTTTCATCCGAACCACGTGCACAACTTCTAGTGCATGTCTTTGACGTCTTGAACAATGTGGACTGTCGGTAATCACCTCATAGTTAACATCACTGAGATGGCGGAGGACTTTATACGGCCCAAAGTATCGTCTCAAGAGTTTCTCCGAGAGGCCACGACGACAAACTGGAGTCCAGATCCAAACTTTCTGTCCTGATTCATAGGAGACTGGTCGGTGACGAAGATTATAGCGCCTTGTGTCATACTTCTGGTGGCGACGTTGCCTCGTGGTTCGCTGTCTGCTAAAGCAAAGTAGGCGCGTGAAAGCTTTAGCTCGGTGGTCCAGCGGTTTGTCTTAGCGACTCGCTCATACTAGGCTAACCAGTCCTCGACGTCTTCATACGCCTCACCATGGAATGTCTCCGGAATCTAAGGCTGCTCAAAAGTCAGCTGGGAAGCACCTGCAGTTGCCATTTCTCCAGGCGGACTGTTTTGCTGCGAAAGTTTCAGGGGAATCGCCTCACGACTAAGGCCTCGCTGTCGGCGACTGTAGCGGTAGACAGGGGTATCCACTGAAAAAACGGGTTCTGGTGTCGGACTTGAAGTGCCGGACCGCAGAGGAGTCCCGAGCATCAGTCGTAGAAGCCCAACACCTCCACCAGTGTCGCAACGTGCACAGAACAGGACACAAGGCTTCCTTTCGAAGTCAACAGCGAGGCTCTATTCACACACAAAAACAAAGCGCAAGAGCAGACGCGCAACATCGTCTTCCTCGAAAAACGCGAGAGACTGCCGCTCGTGATGCTGGCTTCTTCCTCCTTTCACTGTCACGGCTAATAACCGTGACAATATATTTTAAGTAACTTCACAAGTGTAGCTAAATGCTCATTTCTTTAATTGAGGCCCATCGTTAGCACATCCAACACTGACGTAGCTCTATAGGAAGGGCAACGAAAGTTCTAGTGACGTCACACCAGATCTGTAGTCAGGTGAGTGACCTCCGGACTTCCGCCCCGTACATACTGGCAAAGCATCGCGGCTGCTGCAGGTAGCGGTGAGTTTGTTTTGCAGGTGCTTGTGTGGCACATGTGTGCGAGAGCTGACAATACTCACCATGACACGTGCAAAGCTTTGTGATCACGTGACTAAGTCAGCTACACTGCTACGTACTTGCCAAACTCGATCCCCACAAACAGGAACTGAAAATTGTTCATATAAAAAAGGCAACAAATTATACAGCGAGAATAAATGAACCTTGGTGCGTGTATCGTGCTTATTGGAGCTATAATTAAAGCTTGCAGCAAAGAGCATGCAAGCCACAAATATTGGGGCACGACCCCTTTAAGGCCTGACTACACATGCGCGTTGAAGCACATCAGCGCGTAACTTTCTGACATGGCATCGTGCCTTCTCCCTATAGAGAGGGTGCGAGAAGTCATTGAGACTACGCTCTTTTTTTTTATAATTGCAATATCCATATATTTATTGCAAGTGCTTATTGTAAGCATGTTGCTTTGAGTCCTTGAAAAACTTGCAACAGATCCTGGAAAGTCCTTGAATATCCTTGAATTTTCACTTTGGAAACCTGTATGAACCCTGGTTCTTTATTGAAATTTGTGAAAGCATTTTTGGCAAGTACACAAAACTCGTACTATAACAAGTTTGCTGTTCAATTTTGGTGTCTACATTCCTTTAAGGTATATGTTAGTATTTTTCCTGTCCGTTAGCATCAGCAGCTTCAGAGTTAGTCATAAGCTGATGTTCACCACTAGAAGCTGATCTTACCAACCAAGAAAGAGAAAGTTGCCATTCACATTTTGTCAATGGTTAAGCTTTCATTGTTAATCACCTACAGTGAAGCTCATAATTAGTACCTCTAACTACGAGCTTTCTTGCTAGCTCAATCGGGAAGTTGGCCAAGTAGCATTTCCTTGTTAAATGTGCATTTTAAGTGGTGAGAACAAGCTTGTCTTGAAAAGGTGTGGCATGTTTATCTGTGCTTGCCTTGATCGCTTTTAAAACTATTCTGCAGATGTGGCAGTTTGCACCTAACAGTGTCCACTATCTTCTGAGCCTTTGGCAACGCATGGTAGCATCTGTGCCCTATGTAAAAGCATCTGAGCCCCATTTGTTGGATGCCTACACGCCGGAAGTGACCCGGGCCTACATCACTTCACGGCTAGACTCTGTCAGCCAAGTCCTGAGGTCAGTGTTTGGCAAGCTTTTGCAGTACATGACAGCATTACACGTGAGGAGCTGTTTGTTCTCAAAAGAAGTGGCTATGTGGACACTTTTATTAAGTATTTGAGGGACAGTGACGGAAATATGCGGTGCCACAAATATGTGCTCTAAAGTGTTTGATTTTGTACATTCGTAGTGTGTGTTTGTGTAACATGTCCATTTTTTAACTCCCTTTTTTCCCCTCGCAAGTGCTGTTACCCTGAAGGGGTCAGTCAGTCCAGAAATTTATCAAACGGTCCTGAGGGCTTAAAGCTACCATGGTGTCCACGAGGGACATCCCAGCAGCCGCTACTGTAGATGACGCCTGATTCGAGGCGGGAACGTGGTGCAAGAAATTTTTTTCTTTGTGTTTGAATTTTCACTCGAGTTTTTCTTTTTTGGCTCTTTCAGCCCAGGATTTTTCGTTATCTTAAGTTTTTTTCAACCCGTTTTTTGAATGTTCTTATATTTATAAAACACCCATATAATATACACTTGCATTTCGCAGCCTTTCTACTGTGGGCAGGAACTTAGATTAAACATTATAGGTCACTTTAGTACGAGGGTGGTCAGAAAAGTTCCTGGTCTCAACAAGAATCACGTGAGCTAGAACTTGCAGCACTCATGTTCACATTCACACAAGTCTCTGCAAGTCTTGAAGCACCATAAGGCATGGAGAAGCTTGAGCAACCTGCGATGATAAAAGTTATTTGTAAAATGTTTATATACGAAGTACGTTCACCAACGGTTTGTCAAAGTTTACAAGCAAGATTCACCTTTATACTCCACAATCAAAAAATGGGCTGCTGAGTTTAAGTGGGGCAGAGAAAGCATTGAAGATGACCCGCTAAAGGGCGCCCAAAAAGTGCAACAACTCTTGAATCGATTGACCGTGTGCACGATATGGTCTTGGAAGACAAGAGAGAGAAGTTGCGCGAAATTCCCGAAGATGTTGGCATCTCAGTGGAACGTGTAGGTCACCTTTTGCACTATGAACTACACATGAAGAAGCCGTGTGCAAGATGGGTGCCGAGCATCCTTACTCCTGAGCAAAAACGGAACCACATGGCAATGCCACAGCATGCTTTGGAGCTGTATAACGAAAATCCAGTGGAGTTTTTGTGCATACTTAGAACAATGGATGAAGCTTGGATTCATCATTACACACCAAAATCGAAAGAACAATCAACTCAATGGACTGAAGCCGGGTCCTCTACACGAAAAAAAGCAAATTCAGTTCCCTCCGCAGGAAAGGTGATGGCCCCGGCTTTTTGGGACGCTAAAGGCATTCTGCTTGTGGATTATTCTTGTAGTGTACACGCATCTCAAAGGAGCACAGCCACTAGCGTGGGTCCGGTCTTAGCGAGCCGCAGGGCACGCGTTAAGCGTCGCCGTGGCGAGAACACGATACTGCTCAAAGTTGCAACACTTTATTGTCTGTGGCAACACCAAACGCAGTACAACCCGTTGCAAAGGCGCCGCAGGAAAGCAAATAGGCTTATCCACGCCACTGGCATAAAAGTACTACACAGTGTGCCACGAGCACGTCTCCATAGTAAAGGTGATCCACAGAGACACCGGGACCAAGGCCTGGTTGCTCGAGCGAGGGCAAAGGCGCTCGCGTTGGCTTCGAAGAGAGACTGGTCGGCGCAGCTTGGCCACGCACTAGGACACCGTACCACCCTTCGGTCGAGCGTACGCAGTGGGGCTACAAAAGGTGAGTGTTCACCTCGGGCGCGAGGCGCCGTCAGCGGAGTCCGACGAACCCCGAGCGACGGGAGTCGACGGGCAGAAAAGATTGCATGGCTCACCGTCTGGTGTCCCGGAGAGTATCTGCTCGCTCCGGACGCAGCGCGCGAAAACCTCTCGGGAGACTCCGTGCACGGCGCCACAGTCAACGTCCGCTACCGGGTGAGGGGGTTAAATGTCACTCCGCTCTCCCAGCGCGGCAGACAGCGGAGGGGAAAGATATGTAGGGACATGAGAATGGCAGAAAAGGTGGCAAAGCCCGCGCAAAGGCAGTGGGCTAGCCTCAATTCCCACATCCCCCTCTCCTAAATTTGCCCTTTACCGGTCTGCAAAAGGCAGCTGGACGTCACTCATGCAGTTAAAATGACACTGCTATGATCGACAGCTAACCTCAGTCCAGCCCTGTAACTGCTGCTGCTGCAAAAAAAAAAAAATGGATGACAAAAGAGAAACAAAAACATTAATAACAAAATAAACACACGACACTAAAAATAATTGTGGAAGGGAGCACAGGAAAGTAGTAGTAGTGTTCGTGGTGCTGAAGCGGGATAGCGTCCACCGCGCAGAGGGGTGGAAGAGCATGACGTTGTTTGCTAGGTGCGATGCCCGAGTGCGAGGTCAGAGGCACGGAAGGGGGTGCGAGGTCAGAGGCACGGAAGGGGGGGCTCTCTGATGGCTCGTTGCTGCTCTTGATTAGCCGAGAGTCCGAGGAACGCCGCTTCGGTTGTGGTTCCGAGGCCCCGCATCTCTGGCTTGATGACGGAGCTGGGACGTTGCGGGAAGCCGGGCCTCTCCAGTGTTCAGGGAGGCCAAACCAGAATTGGCTGCGAGGCGCCCTGGCCTTGGCCGGCAGCATATAGCTGCTTTCAGCTGGCCTCGCGCAGGAGCCATGGTGAGAAAGGCAGCAGGGCTTCTTCGACGACGGCCGAGAGCAGAGCACTGCGTCAGCAGGTCAGTGCCCCGAACACCTCTAGAGTCCGCGTCGATGGGGGGAAGCCATGACGAACACTCTTCACAGGCACGCACTGAAGCATCGCGTACTTACACACGCACAGAAGTACGCATGCACACACACCCCCAACGGCTGTTCGAGCGTAGGTGCAAAGCGTCCTTCGTCTCTCTCTCCCGGCATACGCACTGATACTCAAGGTCACACTCCCTTCGCGGTAGACGAAATGAGCACGAAAAAAGTAAAACAGAGCAAAATGACACTCAATTTCAGGCTAAAATAAAATAAAACAGACAAAAGACATAAAATACACATGAGCACTTGAAAAAAAAAGAAACACTGGCAGCAGACTGGGCGGGGTCGACTTCTTTACGAGATAAGGCCGTAAAGAAGCTAATCTATACTGAGGCTAGACAGTAAACTAAGGGCCTTCAGTTGCGGAGAAGTCCGCCGTCCGGCGCAAAATCACAAAGGTGACCGCTTCCTCAGATTATACCGGTGCGGGGTCCGAATGCGGTTCGCTGCTCCGGGTGTGCCCCGGGTGTGCCCCGTTGCTTGCGCGAAGTGCCGCAGGGCTCTGGCGAAAGCTCGTCAGACTGTGAGACAAAGGGTTTCAGGTCTGCGATATGGGCACGGCTGAGTTTTCCCGTATGGGGATCTTTCAGCAAGTACGCGAGTGGAGTGCAAGCTTTCTCCATTCAGTACGGACCAAGCCACTTGGGAGCGAGCGAGGTTGAGAACCCCTACTGGCATCGCTAAGAGTATGGTTACGCTTCAGGACGAGATCGCCCACCTCAAAAACTAGGCCGCGATGCTTGCGGTCATATTGGGCCTTCTGTAGAGCCCTGGCCGACGCCAATCTTTGCCTAGCTTTGCAGAAAGCTCGACAAAGCCTGTCCCGAAGTGTCGACGCGTAAGCAGAGCAGTCTGCCGGCGTCTCATCGTCCTCGAGCTGGCATTGAGTGACGCTGGTCACCGGATTTGCCAACTCCCTTCCAAAATTTAAGAAGGCGGGCGAGAAACTAGTTGAGCGACTCTCGGATGTTCGAATAGCGAACGCGAGCTCACTCAAATGGCCTGCCCAGTCCCTTTGACTTTCGGCAAAGGCCACCAACATCGGTTTGGGCGTACGATTGACGCGCTCTGTTAAATTGGACTGGTGATGGTAAGGTGAAGTGGTGCAGTGATCGATTCTGAGCGAATGGCACGTGACACCAAACACCCGAGCGGTGAAATACGAAGCATTGTCAGTGATGAGCCTTTCCGGGAAGCTGAAGCGGCAAAACACTTCCTGCAGCTTCTCAAGCACCACTCGCACCGTCACCTTCCGAAGAGGGAACAATTCCACCCATTTCGAAAAGTGATCAACGACTACCATCAGGTGAATGAACCCCTTTTACTTCTGGGAAATGGTCCCATTAGATCGCAGATGGCCACTTGCCACGGACGCTCACTGACAATCGGTTTCATCAGACCGGGCGGTTTGCCACCCTTTGATTACACCGTTTGACAGACGCGGCAAGAACGGCAATAGCGAAAAATGTCTCGCTTCATGCCGGGCCAGGTCACAACGCGGCTCAGTTTTGCAAAAATTTTCGAGCCACTTAGGTGACCGGCCATGGGTTCGTAGTGAGAGGATCGCAACAGTGCAGCTCTCAAACTTTTGGGCATAACCATCCTAAACGGGTCGATGGACTTGTCGTCAGTGGCTATATACTTCAGCAGGAGCCCGTTATGGTCCAGCAAATATGAATCCGCCGGGAACTCAGCGACACACGCTGGTTCGAGCCCCCTATTCGCGACCGCTGCAGAGCAAGCAGCGTCATGGCGCTCCGTCTCGTCGAGACAGTCGCTATCGGCGCCCGCTGCAGGACAAGCAGCGTCATGGTGCTCCATCTCTCTGAGACCGTCGCACATTTCGTGACAAAACGGGTCACTTTGCTGGGCCTTTCGAAGCTCTTCTCTGCTGAAAGCGATTCCCATTCTCCCAAATGGGGGAGTCTGGTATCGCGCCCAATCAGGACCGCAGCAACCGCCGTGTGCACGGCGTCACGGGTTCGCTCTCGGCACAGTGGCCTTCGGAAAGTTCTCCCGCTCGGCCGCTACGCAGTGTGCCGCTTACCTGGATAGCAGCCAAAGTCGTCCTCATGGGAACTCCCCCTTTTCGCCGCTGTTTCGCCCCCGACGCTTGCATGTGTTAAGGCACCGCGAGCGGCCGTCGTACTGAAATCCAGGTTCTCCGCAGACAGCAGGGGGCACGAGATAGCACGTCAGCTACTACGTTGGT